TTTTTCACGTGATATACATGAACATAGTTTTAGACAGCAGTACAAGTCGCACAATCATTATTTATTATATCATCAAAACGTGTTAATGTACACTCAAACGTCAAAGTGCTTGTACGGTGTTTGAAGCAACTATTAATCATCTATAACAACTCAAACATCATATGTGAGCATGGAACAGTGTCTTTGGAATATAATCTTTCAATTTTAGCCTTATAAAGTAAAAAAGAAGCTGTACGGTTTTTCCGGTGACCAAGTAAATATTATACTGTAAACCGAGGAAAACCACATGTCGCTATTGAATCGTAAACACGTAGTAGACAGTCATGCTTTGCGACTCATTCAATTGGTTGGGGAATGGGTTAGACGAAAAAACATCGTCAGCGGTCACGTGTTGAAAAGTGCCTTCCATAAAAGGTAGTGTACCCGACCTGTTAAAGGGACAGTACGGCACATCTCAGCAAAAAAATGGATAAATAAAAATAATTAAAAATAAATAAATAAATAAATAAAATAACCACTCGATAAAATTTTCCGATCGAATTCCAAATATTTATAAATTTTCATAAATGTAAAAACTTTCAGAAATTTAAAAGATTAATAATTTTGATAATTCCATTCAAATTAATAAAAATAAAATTATTTGAGGCCCATAAAAATATACAACGCAACGTGTTAGGAGTTTTACCTCCCATGCTATTCAAGCAAGCGTACTTATTAACAAAGCAGCATGGCTAGTAAATAAAAGACGGATAGGCCTGTAACCTTGACAGAGAAGGCCAAGAAGAGACTTGACCAAACTTTATTTGGAAGATCAATGTGATCTTGAAGGAAGAAAATCTCACTTATTCTATAATTTACCAAAAAGTCTGTTTTTGACCCCAATCGCCCCCAGGGTGAAATTCTGAAACCTTATTGCACACTTTCAGGACACCACAAATCATAATACAAAAGATGGGCTGGCTACTGCAGAAAAAATAAGAAGCCAGGGAACCAGGTTTTTGCACAGAAACAAGTTTTTTGATCCTCACTCGACCCCTAGAGTGAAAATAACAACTTCGAAATCTTATTGCACATCTACTGGACACTATTATTCATATTCCAAAATATAATCGAACTACTGCGGCCAGTTGTTTTATATAAATATTGTTTTACCTCAATTTTACCCGTCGCGAATGGAAAAAAAATTAAATCTCAAAACCTGTTTACTCATGTTCAAGGCACCACCAATCATATAATTCTTAAAGATGAGTTGGCTACTGCTTAAAATTTATGAAGAAGACAATGTGACAGATAGACGGATCAGGATGTTGTTTGTTTCTGTTTAGAAAATACAGGTATTATATATTACTAGTTAAAGACATTGTGTTGTATCAAGGAAATTTTGCATTCAGTTTAATTATTCAAAGTTAATAAGGCCTGGCTTATCGAATAACCTATACTGACCAGTCCGTCTATCGGTCCAATATCACTTGACCCGAATGTTTTTATCTCCCTTTGGACCAATATGGCTTAAACTTTAACCACAAAATGTCTTTGTTACAGGGTGTGCAAGGTCCTTGAACCATTTTCCTGGCCAAATGTCAAATGAAAAAAAAAATATTCAAAATCTTTGGCTTAAGACATTTTCCCTCCGCCCAATATAGGTCATACTTTACTAGCACGATGCTGTGTAAAGGTTGTTCAATGACCTTGAACAAAATCTCGAGGTAAAAGTCATAGACCTCTGCTTAAAATCCATGTGAGCATATTTACTTTCCCTTTCATCCGATTCGGCTTATGATTCCCTTTGGTTAACGTTTTAAGTCAAAGTAGATCTTTTTGATGTGAGCATATTTATACCCCCGCTCCGAAGGAGAGGGGGGTATACTGTTTTATCCTTGTGTGTCTGTCTGTCAGTCTGTCCTTAACAAATTTTGGTCGAAGTTTTCTCAGCAACTTCTCATTGCAGATGCTTGAAATTTTGAGCACAATCTTTGATTAGGCATGCCATATGGTGGGATTCATTTTTGTACAAATCCGATGTCAACTTCCTGTTTATCCGTGTGTCTGTCCGTACCATACATAACAAATTTTGGTCGCAGTTTTCCCAGCAACTATTCATTGCAGATGCTTGAAATTTTAACACACTCTTTGTTTAGGCAAGTCATATGGCGGGATTCATTTTCGCACGAATCCGATGTCAACTTCCTGTTTATCCGTGCGTCTGTCCGTACCATACATAACAAATTTTGGTCGTAGTTTTCTCAGCAACAACTCATCGCATATGCTTGAATTTTGAGCACAATCTTTGTTTAGGCATGCCATATAATAAGATTCATTTTGGTACAAATCCGATGTCAACTTCCTGTTTATCCGTGCGTCTGTCCGTATCATACATATCAAATTTTGGTCGCAGTTTTCTCAGCAACTACTCATCACAGGTGCTTGAAATTTTAACACAATGTTTGTTTAGGCATACCATATGTTGGGATTCATGTTTTACAAATACGATGTCAATTTCCTGATTATCACTGTGTCTGTCCATAACTGAACTTGTGTATTGACATCAGAGCGGGGGTATTATTAGTGAGCATTGGCTCACAGACTTCTTTTTTTTTTTTCTTTTTTGTACAACCGGGTTCAACCTGAGTAAGTTTGAGCCCTGTGATGACTAAACTTGCATGTATAATGCACCTTGGTATGCACACTACTACTCTTGCTTCGAATTCTGGTTCTAACCTATATTTTTCAAGCAAGTGAACGGGTTAGAGGTTTTGGAGAAGGTCCGTTCCCAAGTAACTACATGTTAGTTTTGCATAGACTAAACTTGCAATGATTTTGTTTGTTTATTGTTTAACGCCCCTCTCGAGAATTTTTCACTCATACAGAGACGCCACCACTTGCCGGTGGAGAGCTGCAAATTTTGATCTATACTCGGCACTTAGGGCCATTGAGCAGTGAGGGATCTTTTTCGTGCCAGCACCTACTGCGACACGGGACCTCGGTTTGTACGGTTCTATCCGAAGGACCGGTCTCCACGTCCCACAGTGGGAATCGAACCCGCGACGTAAGAATTGACTCCTTACTCCGCGACTCTAGAGCGAACGCTCTTACCACTGCGCCACGCGGGCGACAACTTACAATGATGATGCATGTAAGGTTGAAAGTTACCTGACTTGCTTACAAATTCTGGATCTGATCTGCATTATCCGGATGAGTGTGCATGTTATAATTTTTGAAGCAGGTCCATTTTAAAGTAACTTTAAGCCTTACCTTGACCACACCTGCATGTCTGATGTATGTAAAAGGTGAAAATAAAGAACAGTGATCAGTCGACAGGTAACGCCCATCGTGAGCCATATCTTCACGGATCAGAGAGATTTAGTATTCCTAGTAATCCGTAGTCAAATAAAAACAAATGACCTAACCAGTGGTATGAATCATGTCAGACAAAATCTGGTCATCCAATTTATCAAACAGTTTAGTTATATGTTAGTCATCATCGCAAAACATGCTTAATAATGTATCAATGGATACAATTTCCATTTCTAGACTTGCTTCGCATGTTTTATATAACTTTCATGAACGGATAGTTTTCGGGGCAAGTCCATTCCCACGTATCAACTAGATATCATTGAGATCGTGGCCATCTCAAAGGACCCCGCTTTCAGCAACGAACATGAAAATGCAAGGTAGCTGAAAAAGGTTTATTTTGAAGAAGAACATTTGTGTACTATTAATGGATGCAAGGTAGCTGAAAAGGGTTTATTTTGAAGAAGAGCATTTGTGTACTATTAATGGATGTGTTGTTTGAATCTAAAGGGCTTCTATGTCATCCTTGTTATATTAAAAAATGGCACAAAATCACGAGTGCTCCATACCCTCTAACAAAAAACGGCACAAAAATCACGAATGTTGCATATCGTCTACCGAAATTGTCGCATATCCTCTATCAAAATATGGAAGGAAAATCACAATTGTTCCGTACCCAAGTCAATTGGTAAGGTTTGAGGCTGACTGGACTTAATGGAAAGAAATTATACACCGAACAAAGATTTTAAACAGAGGTTATTTTTTACCTTGACCCTTGACCTAGAAACTTCGTTCAAGGTCACTGCACATCCATTGACCAGTGGCACTCTGTGACTGAAGTATGAGCCACATTGGACGAAGGGGAGAGAAGATATGCTCCGGACAAGGATTTTTCATATAATTCTGCTATGACCTTAACCTTAGAACTAAAAACATGGTTCAAGGTCACTGCACACCCTTAATCGAAAGACACTCTGTGGTTGAAGTATGAGCCAGATTGGGCCAAGGATAGAGAAGATATGCTCCGGACAAGAGATCTCGGACGGCCAGACTGATCACTGAAGGGCGCCCGCAGAGCGGGGCCCTAAAAATGTTACCTAGACCAAACTTTCATCTAGGGATGTACACTGTATAGCCTAGCTACCAGATCATTTATTTTGTGTCTGCCTTTGCCTTAATTTTACATGGTGAGTTCTGTAAATCTTTTTTTTTTTTTTACCCTTTTTTAATTAGATTGCATTTTTTCTCTTTTCTTTCCTTTTAACCATGTCACCTTCTCATTGATTTTATCTTTCTTGCGACGCTTAGGTTGTGTGCGTCCCTTTTAAGCGGAACCTATAACAGCTTAAGTCTGAAGGGTAGGGAAATCTGGAAAATTGCTTCTATTCAACTTCAAAGCCTGCCTCATGTTTGATGATCAATAAAACTGGACAAAATAAAGCATAACTTTGTAATTTGAACAATAAATAGAATACAGCTCCCTCTTACGATTCATTCCAAATATGATTGATTCCCCCAGGAGTCCACCATGGAGGGGTCAGAATCTTTATTTTTGGCCATTAGGCATTTTTGTAACGGGTGTGAAAACAAATGTGTGAAATTGGTCAGTAAAATAATAAATGGTTGGTTGACTTTGGACGGATGGTCGTGATATCTGTTGCATTCTTGTTATATTTGCAGAATGCATACTTTACAGTTTCTGAACGTACTAGATATGGTGTTGAGCATATGATGTAGAAGATTGACACCATCGCCATGATTGCCATAAACTTGAAGTGATCCACCTTTTCTTTGAAAGACGCTTTGCTGAGTCCAGGCCCAACTCGCCGCTTAATAGCAAGTAACTCGTATATCACAGAAATATTGCAGTAAACAGTTAACAGCATACAACCAAATCCTATAAAAGAGTCAAAGTGTAGCAAATTTGTTAGATTTTACTTCCTCATACTATAGCCTGTATGAGTCGTCTAATATTTTGAATTAGTTAGTTGTAAACTTGAGTGAAATCTTAAGTGAAATATACTTAAGATTTCATTCAAGTTTAAAACTTTGAAAAAAAGGGCTGAAATAATATTACTCATAGATAATCCCCTGATATTATCATCTTTTAGAGTAATAAACGATGTAAACTTCGATCTTAAGAACTTTTTAGTGCTCTTTATCATTTATTTTATTATAGAAGTGATAAGTTTTGTAAAATGTATATGTAATGTATACCGATATTTAATACCGTGGAATCACAGGCACTTGTTTCTGTAATAATTTTTTTAACCCATAGTATAATAATAACACATGTACAAGGTGGCAAACTGTTTATACCTATGTCTTCTACGATAATTTATCTACACAACAATATATGGCATGCTTGTCTTTATTTTCTTTAGTCTCCGTAAACAGCGTCAACACTCTGCTCGCCGTGTGGAAAAGTCGAATTCAACCATGAAACGGTATGTTCTAATCCCGCACAGAGAACAAAATTAAAAAGTGAGTGGGTTTAAAAATTCAATTCCACTGTTTAAATATTGCATGAGTAAATAGAACTTGTTTACGTCTGATTTTTCCCTGAAAACATTACGATTTTTATCCGATGTAATTTTAGAAACAGATTTTTAGCCAATCAAAATCTCTGTGCGGGATTAGCTCTGCTGTGAACAGAGACAATCGGTGCTTACCCCCTGATGAAGCCATTAACAACATTCCTATGACTGCAAATCACATGTACTGTAGTAAAGAACCAATTGCAGATTTAGCAAAGTTTCTTCTGAAAAAGGACCTTAGTTTGTCGCGGCTCACAAAGTTTGATGACAATCCGAGCTTCTATCTTGCGTGGAAGCATTCATTTAAGGCTGTTATGGAGGAACTCAGCACTACGCCTTCAGAAGAATTGGACCTGCTGGTACGCTATCTTGGATCGGACTCCTCTAAGCAAGTAGCCAGAATTCGGAAATGCAATGCAGAAAATCCGACAAGAGCACTCACTTTAGTGTGGGAGAGGCTGGAGGAACGTTATGGTGCCCCAGAACTGATTGAGAACTATCCTAAGAACCAGATTTCATCATTTCCCAGGATTTCAATTACTGATCCGAAGAGACTGTACAGTCTCGCGGACTAAGCTGATGAAATAGACTCGGTAAAACGTTAGACCCTTTATGCAAATCTGTTTGCGTACTTCGACTCTCAAACAGGGGTCAACTTACTCGTCTCAAAGTTACCCCCCAGCTTCCAAGAAAAATGGACAGTTGAAGCTACAAAGTTCAAGAATCGTGAAACTGTTGTGTTTCCCACATTCTCTTTTTTTCTGAAGTTTATAAAAGACCTGGCTAAAATGAAGAACAATCCTAGCTTCAATTACGAGAAGACAGAGAGGATGCCTGTCCAGCAGCATCAGCGAACCATCCGTCACAATTCGGTCATTCCGGAGGTTCGGAGTAGGAAAACAGAAACAACCCCTGTGCCTAAACAGTGAAAATGGTGATATACTACGATGTCCTTATCATCACACGAGACACTCACTGAATGAGTGTACCAAGTTCAGGTCTAAGACTATGGAAGAAAGAAAGTTTATTATAGCTAATGGAATCTGCCTCAAGTGTTGTGGGCCTGACAAACATTATGCTAAGAATTGTACGACCTTGGTAAAGTGTGGCTTGTGTAGCCAGTCCTCTCATCCTACAGCACTTCATACTGACAGTCCTAGTCGTCGAGATCACAGGGAAAAGGAAAACCACGGAGGGGAAAAAAACAATGAAGGGGAGCAAAGTCGTGAAGCTGTCACAATTTCTTGCACTAAAATATGTCGGACAGTGAAGGGGACAAGCAAGTCGTGTGCAAAAATCCTGCCAGTGAAAATATACCTTAAAGACTCTGTAAAGCAGTTCAGAATTGTTTATGCTATGTTGGATGACCAAAGCAATCATTCCCTAGCAGCACCCTCACTCATCGATGCATTCAATGTGGATGGACCTGAGTATGAATGCACTTTGACGTCTTGTTCAGGTTCAGTTATGTCAGCAGGAAGAAGCGCTCAAGGACTCGTTGTGGAATCCCTTGATGGCAGTTGTTCCTTTGATCTCCCCACATTAATCGAATGCTCAGATTTACCGAATAACAGGGAGGAAATACCATCGCCTCATATAGCCGAACAATTTTCTCACCTTGCAGATATCAAAAACAGCATTCCAGAGTTGATTGAGAGTGCCGAGATTTAACTACTGATTGGAAGAGATCGTTGAGGACCAAAGACGTATGACAGGAAAGCCTGTTCCCTACGCTCAGAAACTTCCCCTAGGCTGGGTAATTATTGGGCCTGTTTGTCTAGACGCCTTTCACATGCCTGATAAAGTGACAGTACATAAAACATATGTTTTGAGCAATGGCCGTCCTTCGGTGTTTCAGTCTTGTGATAACAAGGTCTTGGTTAAGGATGATGTCTTCTTGAAAACAGATCATGATGAGAAAATTGCCCTATCCATAGAGGACACTACCGTTCTTGACATTATGGACAAAGAATTCCAAAGGAACCCAGATGGTTATTGGGAGGCACCTCTTCCGTTCCGGACCCAAAGGCAGCTGTTACTAAACAATAAACCCCAAGCCATCATTCGAGTACTATCACTTGATCGCAGTTTGAAACGGAACCCTATCAAGAGAGAACATGTGTCAAAGTTCATGGACAAAATATTTGAGAAAGGACATGCAGAGGAAGCACCACCTATTCCAGATACGAAAGAACGATGGTACTTTCCCATGTTCGGTGTTTATCACCCGCAAAAAAGAGATTCCATACGAATTGTGTTTGACTCGTCTGCGAAGTTCAACAACATAACACTCAATGGTGTCCTCCTTAAAGGTCCAGACATGACGAACAATCTTCAAGGCATTCTATTACGCTTTCGTCGTGAGAGGGTAGCAGTAATAGGGGATGTGGAACAGATGTTTCACAATTTTAAAGTGAAATTAGATCACAGAGATTACTTGCGCTTTTTATGGCATCCAGAAAACAATTTAGACCTGCCATTAAAGGAGTACCGAATGACCGTCCATGTCTTTGGGAATCGCCCATCCCCGGCAGTCGCAACATATGGACTACGTCGTTGTGTTGCTCACTCTGACCCTGATGTGATTGACTTCATATCGAAAGACTTTTACGTAGATGATGGACTCTTAAGTTGTCCGAGTGAAGATATGGCCATTGAAATGATGAAGAGAACTGAGCTTGCACTGAAAGAAGGGGGACAGCTTAAACTTCATAAAATCTCCTCAAACTCAAAGTCAGTGTTGTTGAAGTTTCCAGCGGATGATCTAGCCAAAGACCTGAAGGATTTAGATATTGGTGGAGATGATTTACCTGTCCAGAGAAGTCTCGGTATGTCATGGGACATCAGTGCTGACGTCTTCACCTTCAAGATATCTACTGACGGGAAGCCCTTCACTCGCAGGGGAGTTTTATCAACCATCAATAGTCTGTTCGACCCCCTTGGTTTTGCATCACCAGTGACTGTACAGGGGAAGATGTTATTCCGGCAGATGTTGACAACTTCTGGCAATGTTGATTGGGATAATCCTCTCGATGATTCATTTCACTCGAAATGGTCAGCTTGGGTCAGCTCTATACGCCATCTCCAGGACATCAGTATCCCAAGGATGTGCTGCAAGTTTTCTGTTATCGAAGCATTGCGCAAGGAAGTGCACATCTTTACCGACGCTTCTAAGGATGCGATAGCAGCTGTAGCATTTTTGAAGGTGTGGAAGGATGGTGTTAACAGTGATGTTGGTTTCCTTATGGGAAAGGCAAAAGTAGCCCCAGCACATGGGCACACCATTCCTCGTCTGGAATTGTGTGCGGCCATACTTTGGACAGAAATCGCAGAGATCATTAAAGAACACATGGATCTAGAGAAGAATGATTTCTGGTTCTACAGTGACAGTCAGATCGCTCTTGGCTACATCACTAATGAAGCAAAACGTTTTTATGTGTATGTCGCAAATAGGGTCAGTAGGTTTCGATCTTTTAGTGATCCTGAACAATGGCGACACATAGCTACAGACCAAAACCCAGCCGACTTGGGCACTCGAGCGTTCGATGCCCAAAGTCTCCAACAAAGTACGTGGCTGCGAGGACCAGTATTCCTAAGGGAAGACAATCTCTCCACTACTTTAGTGGGAGAGCACTAGAACTTTGCGTTCATCTTGGACGATGACAAGGAAGTGAGACCAATGATTGAAGTCAACAAGACGAGTGTCGAGGGTGACTCTTGTGACTTGGTGGTATCTCGCCTTGAAAGGTCCTCACAGTGGACAAAACTGGTTCGAAGCATTGCCATATTGAGACATATCTTGGTGACAAAGAATCCATGTGAGCATTCGACCAGACGATGGCATTACTGTCCCAACTCTTTGGATTTAAACTCTCTAAAAGCAGCCGAGATGTTTATCCTGAAAGAGATACAAAAGTCTGAGTTCAGAGTAGAGATAGAAAGTCTCAACAAGGGAAAGCCCATTCCTAAGAATAGCAGCATTATTGCTTTGGCACCATTCTTAGATTCGAACGGTTTATTGCGTGTTGGTGGTAGGATTGGCATAGCTCAGAAGTTTGTCAGCATTGATGTGCATCCTATAATCATACCAAAGAAATCCCATGTAGCAACTCTGTTGATAAGACACTTCCATGACAGTGTTCCATCAAGGACGTCGGATAACAGAAGGCAAGATACGGTCATCAGGATTCTGGATAATAGGAACCAAGCGTCTCATAGCAGCAGAGATCCATCGGTGTATTACATGTCGCAGGTTACGAGGATTATTCTGCAATCAAAAGATGGCTTCCAGTAGATCGATTGACTCCAGGACCCCGATTCACATTCGTCGGCGTCGACACATTTGGACCTTGGGATGTCACAGCTCGACGTACGCGAGGAGGAGTAGCCACAAGTAAGAGGTGGGCAGTTCTGTTCACTTGTTTGGTCTCCAGGGGAATCCACATCAAGCTTGTAGAGGGATTGAGTACTTCCTCCTTTATTAACGCATTAAGGCGTTTCCTTTCCGTACGAGGACCTGTCCGTCAATTCCGCTCAGACAGAGGGACCAACTTTGTTGGCGCTGTAAATGAATTACAGATGGTGCACCAATTCATTGAGAAGCCTACAGTGAAGAAATCCCTTCAAGACAAGGATTGTTCCTTAACCCTCCACATGCTTCCCACTCTGGTGGAGTGTGGGAGCGTATGATCGGCGTAACTCGCAGAATTTTAGATGGCATCCTTCTCCGAAATGGAATGAAAGGTTTAACCCATGAAACCTTGTCTACATTTCTCTCAGAAGTTTGCGCCATAGTGAACTCACGACCACTCACAGAAATATCAGAGGATGCCAGCGACCCACCTGTCCTTACACCTGCAATGATACTCACTCAAAAGACAGGACACTTAACAGAATCATTACCCACAATAGATCCCAAAGAGTTATATAAGTCTCAGTGGCGCTTCGTACAAACTCTTGCAGCTGAATTTTGGCGTAAATGGGAACGAGAATATCTGTTTGTTCTTCAGACTCGACGCAAGTGGACTTCTGATGAGCGTAGTTTGAAAGAAAGAGATGATGTCATGTTGAAGGAGGCTGAAAATCCAAGGAATCCGTGGCCCTTGGTTCTTGTGACCAAAACTTTCCCTTCAACTGATGAACATGTACGAGAAGTCGAAGTTCGTGTCGTTAAAGGGGACACAGTGTCAGTATATGTAAGACCCATCCAAAAACTTGTGCCCCTTGTGTTTTCGTAATGATATAAGGTATCATGTTGTACATTTTTGCTTTAGATCTATTATTTTCAGTAATGTAAACACAAAAGGTGATTTCCCATAGAATTCAGAAGGGGAGTGCGGTGTTAGGATATTATCCGTTCCGGTTCAGATTTTATAGTGTTTCAGATTATGTTTCTGTACATCCGGGAAGATCCCCCATTTTTTCAACGACAAATTTGCCACTTGTTTCGTTGTTATTAGACAGTCCTAAGAGTAAGTTTTATGTGCAAAATTTTAAATATTATTTAGTTATCAAATATGTAAAGCTACGCTTATTGTCGTCGAATTGTTTTTGCATATTTTAATGAAACATGAATTGGAAAGCGCACATGGTCTTGGCAATATGTGAAAACTGGATTAGATGTTATCATCTGTATTATTTTGTTACATTTCCAAAACATTTACATGACGTTACTTGTACTTAGAAGTCAATTTATATATTCTACAACGAACATGTATCTGTGAGCGTCATGTTTACTGCCGTAAATCCTTATTTTCTCGAAATTTTGAATTTTGGCATTGTGTAAAACATGGAATGTTAGTTTGTAGCAACTTTGTCAATTTGATGTTTATAATTTTAAGTTGTTTGCCTCTAATAACCACTTTGTAAGATGACTTTTTATTATTGTAGTCTCTTACCCTCTGAAGTAAATCTATGAATGAGGAGGCTAATAAACATCTTCAAAAATCTTTGGAGCTTGTTTGAGCACAATTGTGTAATGATTTTAAACGATTGAAGAACAGTATAGTATATTAAGTACTTTCATGCTGAGGAAACCTTTCTTGTGAATGTCATTTACTGCACTTTAAAATGTATTTGATAGTGAAATGACCTTCCTACCGACTCGGCCTACACTGATGTGTAAAATGTATTTACCTTGAATGAGGAAGAAAATGACAAAAAACCTGCCCGCCGGGGAGGTATCGTTCCAGTGAAAATCGCACCATAGTCCATAACCATATTTGTTCACTCCCATTAATGGCAAGGTTGCAAGGAAAATCTGAATGAGAGCATGCCATACTGAAGCTAAAATAACACTATGGGAGACATACAAAGTAAGGCAATTTATATTGCATGGTATCTAAAACCTAATTTAGCTAAAAATCTTTGAGGTCATTTTTGTATACTTTTATGACCCTTTCTACAGGTATTAGTTAGTGGAAAGTCAAGAAATGCTAGCTAGTCGACAGTGTTCTTAATATGATTTCTAAAATATTAAGAGTTTACATTGACAACCTAAAAGAAGATGAGCGAACAAGGCGAGTGAACTACCTTTAGTGCGACAAACAAAAGGGTGAAAAATTAAATCGCAAATATAACAATTTTTTTATGAAATTTATGGAGATAACGAACAGTATTCAAGCTCAAAAGTCTATTGAACAATACAAATTTTGAAGCAGAGCAAACACAAACCTCTAAAACATCAGAGGTGGGATCAGGTGCCATGGAGGAGTGAGCATCCCCTGCCGACCGGTCACACCCGCCGTGTGCTCCTTGTCATGATCGGGAAATAACGAAAAAATCCGTCGACAATTCAGTGTGTAAATAATAACCTAACATATAGTATGAAAAACGTTAGTCAGCATTTGACTTAATGATAAATTGTACTTGCTGACAAGGACATTCTATCGACCATAGAACCTACCAAATGACAACTTTAAACAAGGACTGTTGATATTCTTGTTTAATCAACTTGTTTGTCAATAACATACCTCGTTTTAGAAATTGCTCATACGTAGAGGATGCTATTGCGTATTGAATTAACTGAGAGATATAAGCCCCTTATTCAGGTGATGAAGGTATACTGCTGCATAAGTAAGGGAAGATATTTCTTTTAACATTTAAGAATACTTTATGTAAGATCGCCACAATTTGCAAAAATTGAACATTATTTGTCTTTGATATAGCATACACACACTAAAGGGGGCAAAAAGAATTTTTTACTCGTATTTTAACACAATTTTTCGAAATAAGTGGGTTTTCGTTCCATTTCTTGAAAGATTATCCTCAAAGTTTGCGTAAAAATACATGTATACATTTCTTTGTTCATAAAAACATGGAGAAAAGACCCAATATATCTTTAAAATAAAAACTTTTTTGACAAAACATTTGCACCTTTCCGACAAATATTTAAGTCCATTTATTTAAGGGTCATATCACAAACATGATTTAAATTCCAAGATTCATCAGAACTTGTATAACGAAGTGGTAAACGTGTTTGTCTCAAAGGGAAATGATACTCAGGATTTTCATGGCCGTAGGAACCTGGGGGGGGGGGGCCAATAATTTTGCCGATATGTAGAATACTATAGAAAATATAGCTACTAAATGCTTGTGCCCCCTCAATAATAAAGTGATATGACTTTTTTTTGTTTGTGTGTTTGTTTGTCAAGGAATTTTGGTAGTTGATAGTGCCCCCCCCCAACTGGAAATGTATGGTTTTGCCCCCTCAAAAGTGAAATTGCTTCCTACGGGTCTGATTTTTATTGCTAGGGTTCGAACCCAACGAATATCACATTATTTTTTGACAACAGAATAATTTTTGTTTAGAAAATTTTCCCAAAAGAAGTTTTGCTCATCATAATTTCAATAATGAGAACTTTAAATTAAATTCTAAATTCACAAATTGAGTATAATTTTTATATATCTTTATCTATAGGCATTCTGCACGCCTTGTTCACCCATCTCCATGCACTAAATCATGTTACATAATTCTCTCTCTCTTAAAATTAAGGGGGGTTTACAATCCCTATCATTTCTAACAGCATAGATACCAATTAACCTTGCAGTAATTTACGTGTGGGCCAGTGTTTATTCCCGTATATAAACACATGCAGTTCAGGGTTATTCCGGGCAATCGCTAATGTTCATACATGTATAACAGGTGTAATAAGCATTCACATGTTTTTGGTGTATCCTCAACGCAATACTGTAAAATTACACATATTTTCTTTGGGTCAAAGTCAAATATTCGTGGTTTGAAATAAAATTGGTCTGAAGGGATTAAATTTCGTGGTTGACGACTTGCCGTGTTGTCATACAAATGAAATTTCATGTTTGGAGGAGGACATGAATTCATGGGAATTTTCATACCACAAAAACAAACAAAAATTAATCACATACGAAAATTAGTGACTTCACAGTATAAAAAAAAATATAGTCAAATCTTATAAGATTTCTCTTCCGTTTAAACAATAGTTGATATGCCCGAACAGTCTACATATATGCAAAAAAAAATCATGTCATAGTGTCTCTTTTAATAGTGTAACCATGCTTAATTTCGCATATTGTTCTATACGGAAAGTGTGTCCTATACTTACTGAATAAATGTACAAACTAACGGCTACAGTTACCACTTTCCGTGGTGTCAACAAGTGTTGATAACGAAACGGAAACCGTAGAGCGATAAATCTTTCCATAGCCATGAGCACCACCATCAGATGAGAGGCCACCATTGTGGAGTTCCTCGAGAATCCACGTATGATACAACCTTGATCCCCTCCCAGCACACAATACCCTAACCACGATGCAGCAACAACTTGCGAGTTACTTATTGCTGAAAAATAAAGAAAAATTGACTACATGAAGATTATTCAATTAGATTTGATATTTGACCTGAATATTTCGAGTTCCTCTTGATAGCCCAAATTTGAACTGATACACTGGAACCCGGTGATGTCTGAGTCACGGACAAGGATGTGGTGGGGCGTAAGGTTAGTATTTTTGGTAGATGCTGAATGAGTCATAATCATGCTATAATTTTTGTGCAGGAAGTTCCTGATTAAGGTAATGATTGAAAATTGTACAAATTTTGATGTTTTTTTTATTTGTTGTTTTGACGTCCCTCTCGAGAATTTTTCACTTATAGGGAGACGCCACCACTTGCCGGTGGAGGGCTACAAATTTTGGCCTATGCTCGGCACTTAGGGCCACTGAGCAAAGAGGTATCTTTTTCGTGCCAGCACCTACTGCGACACGGGACCTCGGTTTATACGATCTCATCCAAAGGACCGGTCTCCACGTCCCGCAGTGGGATTCGAACCCGCGACGTAAGGATCAACTCTTTACTTCGCGACTCTACAGCAGACGCTCTAACCACTGCGCCACGCGGGCAACCAAATTTTGATGGTAAAGACCCACTCAAAAATGACCTAGATCATGAAATGCACAATTTTTGCTTTTCTTTAAGTTAAGTTATGAATGCTTACGTGTCAGTACCTATTATTGTTTTTTTTTTCATAAAAGCAAATTACCATTCATGTTGTTTTTCAGGTTTATCCAAAAGACCCTTGACTTTCACTTCAAGTGCCGGGCGCTTGGCGGAGGAACATTGACTACCTAAATGTAGGTTACTTTACGTTTAAGGTTTGATGCAGTGTCGGCAACGAGAACCCGGTACCTCCCGATCATAAACCGGTCGTCCTACCACTAGGCTACTGCGACCTGTCTGGGCCTTGAGAAGATTTTTGAAAGATATGTCATGAAATTTTCGTTAATTCTTTGTTAAGAATATTGTCGGGGATTTCAAAAAACTTCGTTATATCCGTAAATTCGCTATATCCGTTTTCGTACTGTAACGGGTATTTTCTGCGACTGTATTTTCTGCGGATGGGAAAAATCCGCAAAAATTACAATTGCAAAATATTTTTTTAAATATTAATTAATAAGATACCTAATATTTATTCCCAAACTCTGTATATGGTGCCTACGTCAAGGTAGTCTTTCATGGTGACCTTATTTACCCCGTATATTTATTACTGTTAACTGCATAATATTTTTTTATGTTATCCAGGGTATGCAATATGTTATTTTTTAAACAATTCACAACATTAACGAAAAGATTGTAAAGCAGCAGACCTTAAGCGGTCTGATTCACCCTTAATACGATCATGTCAATATTTAAAATACGTAAAACGTTGCAGTATTCTGCTAAATTTAATATCCGAAAGTCAATTCCGGTAAATGATTTTTTTTTTTGGCGGTAAATTGCAACCGTTAATTTTTTTCCTTTTATAGGTGAAATCGCAAAATAATACAAACCTCAGGAAATACTCGTTATACGGTACTGAATTCGAATAGCAGAGATTTGCCTCTCAAATGTCCAAAGTATGCTGTATATCGGCATAAGGAACTATTTTGGAAAGTAAATTAAAGGTAAAGTTGAGTGTCATCAGGTTGGTAACTATTATACGAAAGCCATTGTGCCAAAGTATCAAATCAATACCTCTTTCAGAAGAGGTGTGACAGACGGACGGAAATACGCCAGGTTAAATGATCCCTTAGTGTCTCTTTGCTCTACAGGCGACACAAAAATGGAGTTCACAATTTTCATCTGTAAAATGAATTGTTTAAATTGCTTTTGTTTCTTAGTTAATATGGGTGGAAAAAAAACAAATGAATTTATATCTCGATTATTAATTATCTCTATTTCATTCACTACTGCCAATATGAAGTGTTACCGCTTTGGTCAAGACAAGGAAGCAGCATACATAACTTTACACTAAGTCTTATATTTGAAAATATTACTACACGAAGTTAAATGGGCAATTCTTGTCATTCTTCGTGTTTAGAAATCAATATCGAATACAATGTTAACTTCCTTTTTTACTGGTTTGATTGACTCTGGGTGTTCTCTTAACAAGTCCATCCGATTGTATTTAATTTTGCAACAATTTCTGTAACTCTACTATTACAGGTATGCTGAATACTTGGTTTAATATCAAGCCTTAGACGAAAGCGTTATCATAAAAGTTAAAGATAAGCAAAAGTGAAGACGTGAACTAAGTTTAACTGAAATCTGATCAAAACTGTTGGAGGATTAGAATTTTGAAAAATTGTTGTGAGACAGACAGACGGACCGACACCTTACTATCGCATTTAAGCTCCTCTGGTCTCCCGTCGATATATTGCCAACTCGGTGTTAAGCAATAATTAATCAGTCAATCTTCTGGTCTCTGACCAGTAAAGCTAAAAAATGGCTTGTAATGTACATGTCTAAAATAAAAATTTTGTGATGACACAGGTAATGAGTTGGCTAAATATGGCACAAAAATATAAATGCCACTACAAGGATCATTAAAATGGTTCTTGGCGCGTAACTCGATAAGTTTAATATTGTGTACGCGCTCCCTCTCCAATAGCGTTATCAGTGTTTTAATTACATGTATACAGAAGCGCGTACATATTAACTACTTTTAAAGTATTTTACTATCTATTATCTTTAAATTCCTTACACTGATCTAAGATATTTTGTAAAACTTTTTGTCAATTCTCTTTGGATTTTTTTTTTTATTATTTTGCCAGACAAGTAATTTTTATGCTATAGCAAACAACAAATCACCTGAAACGTCAGGACAAAGTGATTGAATCAGGAACACGTATTGGTCATTCAATCTCTCTCTCTCTATATATATATATATGTAATATATGTATGTATGTATATCTATCTATCTATCTATCTATTATATATATATAATTCAAAAGTACTTATTAAAAGATGATGTCACACAGTAAAAATAATCATAAAAGAAAATGCACTGTTTCCAAAATTTCATTCAACACGAGCGCTTACTGGATTTCATAATCCGTCTTCGGGTGCACATAACATTTGAACTGTTTTGTTTTGCTCCAACAAAACAAGCAACACAAAACAGTTCAAACGTTATGTACACCTGAAGACGGATTATGAAATCCAGAAAGCGCTTGTGTTGAATGACATTTGGAAACTGTGCATTTTCTTTTTCTTATATATATATATATATATATATATATATATATATATATATATATATATATATATATATATATATATATATATATATATATTCGGAGGAAATGGAACAGTTTTTATTGGCTACAAATAAGTCATTTTGAAGCTTAAAAATTTGCTGTTAATTAATGTGTAATAAAGATACTTCATAAAACATGTCGAGAAGACTTTGGAAGACATTTCATTTTTTTTTGTTTTTTATAAAAAATGAATATGATAAACAATCATAATATTGTTGATACTTTTAAATGTTCAAGAGACGTTTCACTTAAATAAAGTCATGAGAGGCGATCATATTTTTTTTTAAATAAGATTGTGGAATTTCAGAAAAATTCCTCATTTTAAAATTTGAAACCACATATATCCTTAAAATATTACTGATCCCGACTGGAATTATACAGAGAAGAATTATTTTCCAATTTTAAGAAAATAATCAGATTGCTTGACTGATGTATTTGGTTTACAAATTAATTGATTTAATCAACAACTTGATTTCTCCGTGGCGAGAGTTTTAGATATAATTTGTTGAATATTTTTATTTTGTATCGATCTTTATCGGAATCGGTGTTATTTCAATCGATATTGGTGAAATATAGCAATGTTATTAAATTTCGAAATTTGACTACATTTTTTTTTTAAAATTATTGTCAAATATTTCTTTCCGATAAATAAAATGTTTTTGAAGATGTTAGTAATAGATTTAAAAATATCAACAAATCTTGTGTTTCATTTTAGTTTTTTTTTATTAGTTTACACGACTCTTCTGCCATGTTTTATAAGATATACACCTACATATGATGCATATATTGAAAGCAAATTTAAAGTTCTAAATGATTTATTTGCAACCAAACAATTTTCATATTTCCTCTGAAAAGATAAGAAATTCTTAAAAAAAAAAATTGAAAGGTAATATTTTTTTTAATGCTGAAATCAAATGCCAAAAAAACATGAAACTTATACATCTACTAAATAAAGTTTTGGTGTGTACCTTCTATAGTTTTGTGCTCAATTCTGCAAAATGAACCTACATGTGTAATTACACATTAAAAAATATGAAGTACTTACCAGCGTACAACAAATCACAAAAACACACCGCCAGGGAAAGAAATTTAGGTTGCGAAAAATGCCTTTGTTTGTACATGGACCTAGACAACCAGATCACAGCCACTATACTAGACACCCCTGTCCAAACATTGATAAAAATCGCACTGACACTCTCCCTAGTCTTGTTGATGCAGGTACTGTTCACACTCATCTCGAATGCTCTGTGTTAGTAGATTTGCTAGTCTGAAAATGTTGTTTTTTCCCTACTTATATGATAGAGATTCATACTTTGATGATCGATAAAATAATTGAGACTCGCTCATCTGAAAAGGAAATGGGTTTCAAAGAATGAAATTAGACATGAGAAGAGTCTTAAACGGAATACTTCTGTAATTTCAGTTTCTGTTAAGCTATGCTAACGAGGGATCGTTTGCAAGATCATAAAGTGATTAATTTTATAGAGTCCCTAAGGAGTATTTCATCTTAAGCACAAACTCTGCATTGATTGTAAGAAAAATCATTATATCTAATGTATTTTTTTATTGAGCTATTAAAGAGACGACGTTTAAAGTACCCTGGATATTCATTCTTGTCCAGGAAGTTTCCGCCTGGAATTATCTATTCTTACGAAATACTCTTAAATTATGAAACACTTGGCAATATATCAGAATGGGAATTGTTAACATGTTAATAGGTCATGGACCAGAATTATGAAAAATATAAATTGAAATAATTATCACAATTAGCAGTATTGCGTAACATTTTTAAAAGACATTCTGCCTTGACTTTACTTGTCACACGAATATCCTTGAACACTTCAAGGACAGATACAGCGAATTGCATAAGGATTTGTTCTTCAAAGGCATGCAAATCAATGTATTACAGCTCCATTTAGACCTTAAAAATGTAATGTCAATATACATGATATGCTCATCCTTTCCGCCCCGATATCAAACAAAATTGCACATTGTTTTGTCCTATCATTCTTTTTTTCTGTCATAAAAGTAAAGCTTAGAACCATGAAAGTCAGGACTTTACATTTGGCAGACTTTTAGATACATGTATATGAGAGCATTACTATTTTTCATTGAATTTTTTTGTGAAGAAAAATTATAAATAAATCAATTATGGATCGGGATCGGTATTTTGGAATGAAGAACACGACTCCACTTTTGGTTCAGTCCAGTCACGTAATCAAGATAGTATATAATTTACCTTCTTCTAATTTAGTTCATTACTTATCTCGCGACTGTGCAATCCATAGTCTTCGTAACTATTCAATGCATATTTTGAAATGGTGTTCACTGATACTCTAATAATGTATTTATTTTAATAATCGCTTTAATAAATCACAGGGCTTTGATCACTGTTAAATGCGGTATGAAAGTTTGATTGCATGTCTCCGTAGTGATGTAAAATGAACTTTATCAGTGTGTAAACAAATAGTTTAATTACTGGGAAGGAACAAAAAAATTTATTGACTCGGAACTCTTATGGATATTCCTGTGATATTATTACAAGGTACCGGTAGAAACACTCTTATACATGTACGAAGTACAAAGGAAACTAACCACGCAATCAAATATGCAGTAGGCATATTCACTTTGACAGTTGATATCAATATTATTAATTTGTAATTTATTTTGTAAAATCATTGTCTTTCACTAGAAATTGGAATTTGTGTTCATCAAACTCATCTTGTTTACCGTTATTTAAGCACTGCAATATTTTAATTTCATACCGTGCTCCTGCAGCTGGCCACTAGAGCTAACTAACTGATTAAGCCGAAAATGAATGAAATTCCCAAAAAACAAAGCTTGCATTTTTCGTGACTATTTTTAGTCTTTAAACGTATCTTTTACACATTTTTTTTTATACATGTACTGTTTATCATTAGTCCCCTATCGGTGAAACCGGAGGGGACTATAGATTTCCTCTGAGTCTGTCCGTCTGTCTGTCTGTCTGTCCCTCTGTCAGTCTGTCCCACTTGGTTTTCCGCACTTTTTTCCTAAACACTTGCAGATATTGAGATGATTTTTGGTATGTGACTGTATCTTTATGAGTTACAGATCAAGTTTGCATTTCGTTTCGCTTCATTGATTTTTGACGGAATTACGGCCTTTTCAATTTTTACGGGTTTTCCGTAATTTTCTTCTAAACGCTTGTAGATATTGAGCTGATTTTTGGTATGTGGCTTTACCTTGATTAGTTATAGATCAAGTTTGCATTTCGTCCCGCTTCATTAATTTTTGACGGAATTACGGCATTTTCAATTCTTAACGGGAACCAGATTACACTTGCCGGTAGGGGACTACAGTACAGGCCACGAGTTTTCCCCGTCGCACGGTGGAAAACACACCGTGTGAAATGGTCTGTATTACACCGTGTACACGGTGTAGCACGGTGTGTGTGGATTTGAAATACACAGGTAGGCACACCGTGCCGCACCGTGTCTAGCTAATGCTCCCCGTGTCGCACTGTGCCCAGAAAATTCCCTCCGTGTCGCACCGTGTCCATAACATTATAGAGATAATCTTTCGGTTCTGATAAAAACTTTAAAAACAATTAATCACTTTGATTTATATGTATAATTATTGTTTTAAAATCTAGAAGACATTGACTGTGCTATGAATCGTACTAATGACACATGTAGTAGGATTAATTAAATATCGGTAGCAGAAAATTTAAATGGTTTTGAATTTATCGTGCGCCCAGAAGTTCGTATTTAATTTTAGTAAAGTTATTTAGTTACCTTTTAAAATAATTTGGATTGAAATTTTTAATGTCCGAAGAATTTTATTTCATGTGCTCATGCAACGAAGAAAGACTAAATAGCATGATCCATCGATCTGCATTACATTAGTATACGATCCGAGCTGCAGTTGTTTTAGTATACAATCAACGCATTAATTTTATATTCCTAAAAAAAACACATTTATTTTGTTGATCTTATATCATTCTGAATTTATAAGGGAGATCGACAGCAAACACACGAAATCCCTGTGTACAATAATGTGCGTATTTCTCGTAACAGATTTTCATAAACTAGTATTCTGAAAATCCTTTCAGAGTAAGTATGTAATAAAAATTTTCTTTAATTGAAAAGTGTTGAAAGAAACAATGTCAGAGAGAGAGAGACCCTTTCGCATAAATCTGTAAAAAAATAAATAAAATAAAATAAAATAAAAAAATAAAATAAAATAAAAAATCTTCGTTTTATAATGTCCAAGAGTATTTCTCGTAACAGACGATTGTCTTTATCTTTTTTATAACTAGTATTTATGCTTTTAAAATCCTTTCAGTGTAAGTATTTAATAAGTTTTTATTTGAATGAAAAGTGTGCAAAGAAACAGTCAGAGAGAGAGAGAGAGAGAGAGAGAGAGAGAGAGATTCTAATAAATTTAATTCTTCGTTTTATTTACATTACCAAAGTCACAATTAACCATTCTATAAATTATACTTCGTTTCATATTCAACTCAGTTACATGTACAACATGTGTTCAATCATTTTGTTCTCCGTAACACACGAAATCCTCGTGCTCTACCTGTCAATCAAAATCTCACAGGTACAACGCTAGATGGCCCTGAAAGTTTGTTTACGCGGAAAGTAATTCGCTTGTGATTTGAAACATTCTTATGGTCAGTTCCGAGTTTACACCTTTCTTTAAAATATATTGGGGCACAGCCGGAGGGCCGGGCGCTGTGTGTTTATCACACCTTTCAAATTCTTTCGTCCTGACCATATCTTGTGTATAACACACTCAAGTGACTTCCAGTCGAATTCATCTCCCAGGTTACACCACCAGTCCACCACACGTGTACTTTGACTTGTCAAGATTTTAAACTTACTTGTAAATTGTCCTTTTTCAGACACATATAAATAGATTATGACTGTTTTGTTATACAATAACGTAACATATAAATCCACAGACTTTCGATTAATTTTTAATTAGCTGAATCATATCGCTTTCGAGAAGCGGGTGGGGGGGGGGGGTAGCAATCATAATGCATGTAGCTTGAAAGAGGCTAGTTGGTTTTTTTTTTCTTCCTTAACACCATGATAATACTTTGGCCATGAGAAGCTTTGTTCTATCCATCCCCGCTCTACATTCGCTAATTGATTTTTTTTTCTTAAACCGTACGACACATTTTTCATAATCTCAGAATAAGGTAATATTTGTACAGTAGTTGAAAAGCAGATTTGAGTTACCAAAAGTCGGCTTTGTGTGTGTGTGTGTGAGGGTGTGTGCGTGTGTGTGATATTTATCTCCATATTTTTTATGATTACAGATTGCAATAATCCTTAATCGAAAGTATAATTCGCCGAGTAATAATCAGAGAGCAGAGTTCATGTGTGTGTGTGTGTGTCTGATACGATTTCTTGATTTTATTTATTTTTGGTGCATATTTTTTTAAAAATTCTTGTTACGTAGATAATGATTTATAAAATAAACCATGCATCTGATAAATACCACATATGAATGCATACATACGGTAAAAGAGATCTTGTTACGGAAATGACTGTAATTTAAATGAACACAGTTATAATCGAGAGAAAAGACAACCAGGTAATTAATTTACGAAAGTGTATTCCTTCGTAGTATAATAATAGTTTGACTATTGAACAGTCAGATTTTTTCCCCTCGTATAATTTGGTTTTTGAAACGTGACTTACATGGATGTACGTACATATTTTGAAGAGTTTGTATTTTGCTGGACAAGAGCACGTGGATCTTAGATTTTTTGGCATCTTATTTGTTCAGACATCTGTATATCGGTAAAGAAGTAGTAATATTTAAGAAAAAAAGTGGGAAAAAAATCTGATTTTAAAGGAATTTGATATAATTGATTAAATAAAGAAATGAAAAGTTTTTGTTATAAGTTCTGCGTGATATCGTAATGAGGCACTAAGATACACCGCGCGTACACACCGTGTTACACGGTGCGCAGACACCCTAACTTCAAAGACGCCGACATTGATCCAGGTCCACGCTAAAGCAAGGACTTTCGGTCCACGGGGCCCCGTGTTTTTCGGGGAAAACTCGTGGCCTGTACTGTAGTATTGCTAATGCAATACTCTCAGAATGCTTGTTATTATTACCACAATTGCATCGTCCCAGTCATAGGGTCACTTTTTATGCAATGTCTGCCATCATCACCAAATGTACTAGCGAACTTAAATATGTTTTTCTAAAAAATATTTATATATTAGAGAGCTTGTTAGAGTACTGAATAAATTCTAATGTCATGATAAAGCATGACCACTAATTGAGCATCGAAGTATCTCTTTCAATATTTAGCTATTTAAATTTAATATTGCTGGAAAAAATCTTATGAACTTTATAATTCTGTGCAAAATATCGATTTAGACCCTCAAGCGCTTCTCTCACTTCTGTACATAGAGTAATTCTTGTCGACATGACCTGCATGTTATGATGTTTCGAAAAGACATTTTACCATATATATATATATATATATATATATATATATATATATATATATATATATATAAAGAGGTTTTTACATTAGGGATTGTTAAGCATGTTACCCGTTATGTTAAGTTGGTTGGACACTGTTATTGTCCTGCTTAAAATTGTTTATCAAAAGTATTTCTAGGAGATGGAAAATCTAAATAAACTTTCATAATATAGATAATCACCAAGTCTAGTTGTGCATGCAGAATTGAAATTTTCAACATGGCTATTCTTGTTATGGAAACAGAAGATACACACAAAGTTTTGATTATTTTTTTTTCGAAGAAACGCTCCAATCTGTTTTACTAAATTTAGTGAGAAAAAAATATTCCTTCAAGAGGTCAAACTGATTTCTGCCCAAAAATTTGTATCGATAGGACATACTTTGTCATGGATGCAGTGGCATTTGTTGTGTTTAAATTTCGTCTCTGAAAGTATTTAATTCAACAAAATATTCATGTCGCCACTAGTTTCTTAAGTTTAAAATTTCTAATATGGCTCCCATTTCCATGGAAACAAAAGGGGTAAATTTCTGAGTTTGAATATTGCAGAATCTTCAATAGTTGCTTACTCGGTGTTTATCTCCAGTAATGCACCTGAGAAGGGACATTTCAGGGTAAAAGGAGGAAGGTTATCTTGGATGACATATTCTATAATTGATTGCACAAGCATAGTTTATAGTTATATCAGCCCGAACGTAGTAGGGGCGACATACATGTACATATGTACACGTATTGTTATTCTTCAGCTTATTAACATTGTCGGGGAATGTTCTTGGAGATGGCTTGAACAATCTTGACAAAACTTTACGGGAAAAAAGTTTCAAATTTCAAAATGTCCGCCGCAGCGCTGCCATGGAACAGGGCCATAGTAACGGTTTCAAAAGTGTCGGGGGAAACCTCACAAAAAAATCTGACAAGAAAAATAAAAAACCCAACTAATTAACTGTCCAATTTGTCAGTGCTCAGGCTTACAGCAACAAAAAAGGGGGAGAGGAAAACCAGCGTCTAAAGTAAAAAATTACCATAGCAAAATATTATACACAGACAAAAAGTGAGGGCCGCGTACTACGGGCCTGTGAAAACAAACAAACAAGAAGTCCATAGTCCACATCTTTCAACTGAGCACACTGGCTAGGAAAAAGCACAAATCAGTTCAGTATTGAAAAGTTTACATGGGGGCGACTTGGATTTTAAACTACCTACCTGAGGAAGCTTACATATCAATATAAGAAATACTTTTACTGTTCTTGAGCAGAAATTTTTTAAAGATTTTTTCCTATATATTCCTTTGTAAAAATTTGATACCTTATTATGACCCCTCCCTAACCCGGGGGGTCATCATTTTAACAAATTTGAAGCAACACTACCTGAGGATGCTTCCATATCAATATGACTAAACAGAGCTTTGTTATTCTTGAGAAAGAGTTTTCATATATATTTCTATGTGAAACTCTGATCCCTCATTGTGGCCCCTCCCTACATTTGAACAAAGTTGAATCTACAATACCTGAGAATGCTTCCATTTCAAAATGACTAAACATGGCTTTGCTGTTCTTGAGCAGAAGATTTTTAAATTTTTTCCCTATATATTCCTATGTAAAACTTTGATCGGCTTATGTGGCCCCACCCTTCCCCCGGGGATCATGATTTGAACAAACTTGAATCTACACTACCTGAGAAAGCTTCCATATCAATATGACAAAACATGGCTTTGCTGTTCCTGAGAAGAAGATTTTTTCAAGTTTTTTTCCCCCATATATTCCTATGTAAAACTATGATCCCCCATTGTGGCCCCATTCTACCCCCAGGTGTCATGATTTGAACAAACTACACTACCTACAAATCTACACTACCTGAGGATGCTTCCATATCAGTATGACAAAACATGACTTTGCGGTTCTTGAGAAGAAGATTTTTGAAGTTTTTTCCTATGTATTCCTATGTAAAACTTTGATCCTCAATTGTGGCACCACCCTAACCCTGGGGGTATTGATTTCAACAAAGTTAAATCTACACTATCTGAGAATGCTTCCATATCAATATGACTTAACAAGGCTTTGCTGTTCTTGAGAAGAAGACTTTTCAAGTTTTTTTCTGTATATTCCTATGTAAAACTTTGATCGCCCATTGTGGCCCCACCTACCCCGAGGGACATGATTTGATACAAACTTGAATCTGCACTACCTGAGGATGAATGCACATCAATATTACTAATTGTGACTTTGTTGTTCTTGAGAGAAAGATTTTTAAAGATTTTTTTCTATAAATTCCTATATAAAATTTTGATCCCCCATTGTGCCCCCCCCCCTGCCTGGGGGTCATGATTTTGTACAAACTTGAATCTACACTACATGAGGATGCTTCCATATAAATTATGACTAATTGTGGCTTTGTTGTTTTTGAGAAAAACAATTTCAAGATTTTTCCTACATATTTCTATGTAAAACTTTGATCCCCCATTGTGGCCCCATCCTACCCCCGGGGGTCATGATTTGAAGAAACTTGAATCTGCACTACCTGAGGACGATTCCATATCAATATGAATAATTGTGGCTTTGTTGTTCTTGAGAAGAAGATTTTTAAAGATTTTTTTCTATATATTCCTATGTAAAACTTTGATTCCTCATTGTGGCCCCACCCTACCCCCGGGGGTCATGATTTGAACAAACTTGAATCTGCACTACCTGAGGATGATTCCATATCAATATGCCTAATTGTGGCTTTGTTGTTCTTGAGAACAAGATTTTTAAAGATTTTTTCTATATATTCCTATGTAAAACTTTGATCCCCCCTTGTGGCCCCACCCTACCCCTGGGGGTCATGATTTGTACAAATTTGAATCTACACTACCTGAGGATGACTCCATATCAATATGACTAATTGTGGCTTAGTTGTTCTTGAGGAGAACTTTGATCCCACATTGTGGCCCCACCCTACCCCCGGGGGTCATGATTTGAACAAACTTGAATCTACACTATGTAATGAAGGTTTCACATAAGTTTCAACTTTTACAGCCCAGTGGTTCTTGAGAAGAAGATTTTTAAAAGATACCACCAAATTTTCACTAATTCTTAATTATCTCCCCTTGAAAGAGGGTGTGGCCGTTCATTTGAAAAAAACTTGAATCCCTTTTACCCAAGGATGCTTTGTGGCAAGTTTGGTTGAAATTGACCCAGTGGTTCTGGAGAAGAAGTCGAAAATGTGAAAAGTTTACAGACAGACAGACAGACGGACGACGGACAAAATGTGATCAGAAAAGCTCACTTGAGATTTCGGCTCAGGTGAGCTAAAAAAGGTCTAAGTATTGCGCTATCTTTTAAGATTTAAGAATAATACCACATGATAGCATTAATTTGTACTTAAATAATAAGTACAATTTACAAAATTATTTTTAGAATCTCTGAATAATGCATTTTTTGTTTTTAGATTGATATGGACTTCCTGGAACGCCACACTTCGTCGGATTTCTACAGTGGAGACGTCATCGTTGGAGATCATCGACACCTCATCTTCGCATCAGACCAACAACTGCAACACCTTGCTTCAGCAAAGACGTGGTACATCGATGGAACCTTCAAGATTGTTTCCAAGCCTTTTGTGCAGCTGTTATCGATCCACTTCTTTGCCAGATCCGGAGACAACATGAAACGGCTCCCAGGGATCTACGTCCTCATGCCAAGGAAAAGGAAGAAGGACTACAAGCAGATATAAAAACCCTTCTTAAATAAGAAAAAAATAATCATTTTATTTTTATTTCAAAAATCTATACTTTATTTAATATAAATGTTGTTTTGCTTTCAGGTGTTTGCCAGGATTTTGGAGCTGCTGCCATCGCTCCCTGTCACCTAGTTGTTAGTTGCAGACTTCGAGGAGGGAATGTGGAGAGCTGCGAAGTCTATGTTGCGTGGCATCCGGATACACGGTTGTGCTTTTCACTGGGGACAAGCAGTATGGCGTCATGTTCAGGAGATTAGATTACAGGTATACTTATTTATGTATTATATTACAATAAATGATTTTCAGAGTGTACTTAATTTAACTTTAATTTTAGAATGATAAAGAATGTTGTAATATTTGATAAATAAATATACGAAGTTTGAAATATACAATGTGTATGGAAACGTATATAGATATAAATATTAATTTTTAGTTTGCAGATGGACTACAGCCAGCGGGATGGTGTATTCAAGTGTTAGGAAGCTGCTTGCCCTGCCATTTCTGCCAGAGGAACAGATTCCTGTCGCGTTCAACACACTGAAGGAGACCGTCACCAGCGACCGACTGATACAGCTGACCAACTACAAAGAGAGGACCTGGATCAACGGCGACATCTGGACACCATCATCTTGGACCGTCAACCGTATGGCTGTGAGGACAAACAACGACGTCGAAGGATGGCACCACCGCATCAACAGGAGAGCCCAGAAGTCCAACCTGCCCTTCTATGTGCTTGTGATTCTTCTCTTCAAGGAAGCTGCCTGCATCCCGAACCAACTTAAGATGATCAGCGAGGAAAAACTCCGGAGATACCAACGAAAGACTACAAGACTTCTACAGTGCCGCATCAACTAACTCTGGGACAACTACAACGATGGATCCATCAGTGCCAGCAAACTTCTGAAGAAATGTGGACAGATCTACAACGGACAGTGAGTGAAGAAGAAAAACGTGCTGAAATGTAAATAATGATGTGTGATGAAAGTGAAAATAACTGTGAATTGAACGAAGATATAGTGATGAAAATAAATATTAGTTTTTATATTACATGTATATATGCTTTATTTTCAATAGAGTTTAGAAAATTTATTTTCGATTGTTTGTTATATTTTGTGAAAGGGGAATACAATTTTTTAAGTGAAACTGACATCAGGAAGATTTTAAATTAAAAAAAAAAGTCAAAATTAATATATAGATAGATAGATAGATATAGATATATAGATAGATAGATAGATAGATTAAAAAAATATAATTGACTTGTGTTGCTTTCTTAAAACTGGGGGCAAGTTGTCTTAACTGGGGGGCGAGTTGTCCTCAATTGGGGGCGAGTTGTCTTAACTGGGGGCGAGTTGTCATGAATTGGGGGCGAGTTCTCTTGGGGGCGAGTTGTTCAGCATTCAGAGGAGAGGTTTCATATATAAAAATTAAAATTCTGACAAAATGTTCCCTTTAAAATTGGTACGTGACCGTTTTAGTAAGTTTGTCCGAAATTGTTATAGGAGATACTTTCGACAATCTTTATGTAACTCTACAAAAATAAAAGCAAACAGAAAACCAAATTGTGACCAGGTGACGTTTTGTTACCCCGACGAAATACGCTGTACATTCGTTTATTTCTAATCTTTTTAGCACTACAAACATTCATGCTACTATAAAATAATTATGGACTCGATTTTGTGCTTTAATACCGGTGAATCAGGAGTAAAATGTAAATTGCTTTCAATATTATATACATTCTACATAACTGAAATTTTCAAATCGGAACTTATTATCCCCTGGCAACGGAGTTGGAGGGGATATAGTAACGCAACTGTGTGTTTGTGGGTGGGTTAGTGTGTCCTGTGTGATACGGATGTGCCGTAATTTGCACCTCATCGAATGTTGCTTTGATAAATGTATATTTTTAATTTATTCATTAGAATTAATTAGAAACATCAGGGTTAGTGATCTGGCAATTAATTTAGACATGAAGAGCATTTTAAACGAATACCAAGCAACATGCCTACCCACAAAACTGCAGCCGAGAACAGATAAAGCCTAAAATTCTCTGTTCGAAGATATTGATAGTAATATTTAAGAAGAAGGTGCAAAATCATAACATTTCATACTAATGCTGAGAGAATCCTTCCATTGATCAAAACTTTAGCGATTTTTTTTATTTCGACAACATTGGTCACATTAGTGGAGCCCTAGTGGTATGGAGGGATGTGCCTACTAGTCCATGGATAGCATTGCGCCAAATCCGACTATAACTATTGAAATGTATGATCAGACTGCCCCAAATTCGTTGATATAAACCTTACTCTGTTTCAACAGGAACTATTCGGGTACAGGGTCACAATTATAGCATCTTTGTAGAGAAGCATTTTTCGCAGCTATTACAAATTTTGGATGTAGTCCTGGCTGAAGTTGATGATGAAAAGTCACAAACATCAGTTAAAACAATAATAAAAACAAGAAAACATTGATGTAACCATCAATTGTCGCCCGGGAAATAAATAAAGTAAACAATGGAAATGAGTCTTGATCATCAAACCGCTTCGATATGTGTGAAAAAGGCATGCGTCTAAATGATGGAGACGATAGTAGAGACTATTTTGAAAACTTATAGTCGGATGAAAATCGAACAAAAACGATACCCTTTTAAACTTTATCAATTCCTCAAGTAAATGTTAGCTGCATAAAATATAATTTGAAACCAGACACATGCATCACCTATTTTCAAAAATGTCTTTCACTTTAAGATTATAAAACAAGAACTGTGTAAAGTACGTTTTTATGCAATAAGTAAAATTCGATGTTCTAAAAAAAGGGACCTGTCGTTTTTTTTCGATAGTACATGTAAATGATAAGCAACTTTATATATTAAATATGAAAAACATATATATTTTTACAGATTCACTTTATGAAAGTAAAATTATTGTGTATCTCGTAATTTATAAATGGAAAGAACATTCTGATTAACAATCTTTTTAATGTTTAGAAAACCTTTAATTCTGAATAACTTCTCCCACCTCAATCCCCATATACCAACACTTATACTTATATGTTTAGAGCAGCCCGGTCCTCCGGGCTGCAATAATAATAAATAAATGAAAAAGTAATGATTTAACAAGAGCAGAAACCAGTTTTGTCAGTGTTATTAAAAACTTTCCAATGTGCAGACAAACATTCTCTCTAATCACTCAGAGTAGCCTATATGAAGCGGCAGTACGAATTGAACAAGTCCTCAATAAACTGGTCATTAACCAAGACAAACTGTCTTCAGACCTACAAGAAATATAAGATAAAGTCAATCCGATATCAGATAAGATTAATGACCAACAGTCATACACAGTAGAAATGCAAAGCAAGGTAGAATTCCTTATTTAAAAAAGTCAAGAATAAGTTACGACTACATCCGTTACAGCACCAAAAAGCACTTAAGATACCAATTCCGATCCACTAGTGCTACTAACCTACTTACAGTTCTACTTATTGGAACTTCCAACATTAAAAATATCAAAGAAGACAAACTCAAAGCATTTTCCAATATATTAACCAAACAAATCCAATACACACTGGATAATACTTACCGGTATACTGCATTAAGCGTTGAGGTGATGACGCCAGATCTTGTGCTACCTCACTCATATACTAACGACATCAAGAAATATGAGTTTGTTTTTAAAAGCAATACATTTTGTTTATTGAACAAGATCTATTAAATTTGAAGTTGAATGTATATGTATTTAAAAAAAATCTTAGCAAAAAATAGTAGGTACAACAACTAATATCGTTTTCATCGGTTCTACAGGAGTCGACAAGATGCAAAACATCAAAAAAAATTTAAATCATATAATTCATAGAGGCATTTACCGGTATCTTTCAAGTTAAACAGTTTCGTCAGTGTTTAAAGTACAACGTGTTTAGATATATTCCATAACCGAGCCAAGTTTGGCTATGGGCAGGAAAATCTTGGGAGTAAATGCATTCAGGATATTGACGTTTGTAGATACAGAACAATCATTTATGAATCGAATTTCGTTATTACTTTGAAAATGCTTTATATGTTTGATGATCCGACTGCGGTTAATCTTAATTTGTACCACAGGGTTCATTCAATCAATAACCAAATCCGACAGATTTTTAATGCATAATTATTTTTTTCTGTCTGAGCCGTTGGCATTCATTGCACAGGCTTTTGCGTAAATTTGCATTTTACGTTAACTTTCTTGTAATTTTAAAATGCTTAGATTTCATAGCTACTTTATTCCGTTTTTGATTTTTCTAAATCAAAAATATTTGTTTAAAACATTGTTCCACGGTGACGCCATTGCAAAAATTCCCTTGACCAAAGAATTCGGCTACCTATCCATTTTTACGAAAGTTTTAGTAAAAATAAATAAATAAATAAATAAATAAAAATACGTCACACCTATAAGATATAATATATATATATATATATATATATATATATATATATATATATATATATATATATATATATATATGTATGTATTTTTTATTTACTGAACATCGATAGGTATGCCGAATCTTCTGACGTGAAGTGTGATGTATTCAATTAACATTTCCAGGCAATAAAATTATTTAAAATCGAAAAAGCATTTTGTTAGGATCAACACAGAGTTCAAGGTGTAGTTATATATGGGAAAAATCAGATAAAGGTTAGGATTCTTCCAAGATATAAAAACAATTATCGCGTTAAGGTATACCAGTATATATTTTCCTCTTTTGACTCGTGCATTCTACACAACGGTGATAATTGACAAAGGGAACATGGCTATATTAAAGCAAAATACATTCTCATGCAGATGCAAGTTAAAAAGAATATTGCATATCTAATTTGATCAGCAATTATTATAAATGTAAATTAAAAAAAAAGATAAAGAAATCAATTCCTATTTTTCAGTATATACAACTCAACATCATAATGACTTACACAAGATGAATAATATAACAAGGATCCTGGGAAGAAAAGAAAGGACACAACCTTTGAATTCGAGCAGAAATAATTTGGAATGTAATAAAATACCTGTTCTGATTAGTCTTGAATTATTGATCTTTCTAGATTTCACATTTGAATGCTGAATTTCTGCTATAAATTTTAACGCTAAAACAATCTGATTAACTGCAGTCCAGCTAGAATAACAGGATGTTAATATCAACCAGATCACCAAGAATTCAGTAAAATGGAAAATTTGACATTTTTAAACATTAATCACAGCAGTCATGTTTCAAATCAAGAAGTGATTAAAAAATCTGTATTTATGTTCATCCGATGCCAATTTATAGGGCTAATATAGACACCTATTATCTCTATCTGTACTAAATCAGCTTTCAAAAAAATCCAGGCTCCCCCATACATTATTTATATAAGATACTAATGAACTCAAGTTATTAAGTTATCAAATTATATTTTTTTCGTTTCGTCATAGAATATCTTTTTAATTTCAATTACAAACACACACACGGGTTTATAGAGAGAGAGAGAGAGAGATTAGAACCTGATTTGTTTGTATATAACTTTAATAAGGTTGTTGCCAGGGATATCAAAGCTTTTTTTGAAAAAAAAAAACTTCTTGAATTAGAAGAATCGGTCTAGAGTGAAGTATTGTAACAAAAGTGGACTACTGTAGATTCCTAAATATACGCGAGGAATTAATTATCGCGTAATTTCGCGAGAAGCACCAATCGCGAAATAAAATTACTCGCTTTTATTTTTATGGTGATGAAATTCATGTAAAATATCTTGATCAACCGCCCACTCGCGAATTATTTTTCTCGCGATTTGACGTTCAAGAGCCATTTCGCGATATTAAGTACTCGCAACAAATAAGGAATCTACAGTAACTCCTGTGAATGTTACTAGCGTGGTTTACCGAATTTTCAAGCGAAATATTTCACTAGGATTTCAACCTGAACCTACA